CACCACAAGATACAATGAAATTAGTGGTATCATCAAAAATTAGTTACATCGCCAGCAGTACTAGGTGACTTTCCACAGAGGATATGCTTTTGACTGAGTTCTCCCAGCTGAAAACTGGATTAATGGTATGATTTCTTTACAGGGCTAGGAGCTGGATAAAACTCAGTCAAGTGCTCTCATTTCTGATTTTTATTAATGTTCTTTGGTCTTGCCCTACATTCTCTCCACCCTGTCCAGTTTACCAACTATCTGGAATAGTTGTATCTCTCTGAAGATGTCAATAAGAACAGTGCCTTTTCTCCCACAGCAATCATGTACACTATCCCTTGGGGATCCCATGTATCCCCCTATCATGTACACTATCCCTTCCTCATAGGCCAGAAATATCCTAAAGAAACAGACATACAAACTGATGAGCATTTGCAAGCACAGCTCAGGGCTACTTATCCTTCCAATCTGAATGGGAGAATCAGTCCATAGAATGAAGCCTGTCTGTACAGAATGAGATATTGATGCCAAAATATTTCTTGCCTTTTATTTTTTAGACTTCCTAAGAAAAAGAAAGGTGGCGGGGTAGTGGGGAAAAGATGAAACTGATACAACAAGAAGCCTATGATTGCATATGTAAATGCACATTCTATAAAACAATGTTCAGAATTGTACAGTCTTAGATGGGAGCTTAAAACTCATCTTAGTCCCAGCTTCCTGTTGCCCAATAAAGAAATATCATCCATATGTACTTGAACTCACCTCAAGTAGAGTAACAGACACCTCAGTACTCATACGACAGCACATTTCATTATGGTTTATTTTTTTTCTCCTCTTTGGTAACTGACTAAAACTTCAAACCATCAGATAATTGAAAACATATTCTCATGGAATCCCAAAAGGATTCTTCAAGACAACCTAACCTCATTCCCTTGATGTTCCATATGGGGAGACTGAGGTCCCTCTAGAAGGGATAAAATTTCCCCCAATTCACATAGTTGGTCAGCACAGAGCCAGGACTAGAATCTAAAGTCTCCAAATTTAGGGCCCAGTGCCAAAATTAAAAAACAAAACAAAACAAAACAATACTGACCTTGGAGTAACAAAAATCTGGTTTCTAGTTTTGTTCAGACACTTACTAACTAAATGATCTCTAGCAAGTTTCATTTTCTTTGAGACTATTTGGCTACCTGTACAATTAAGACAAGAGGACCTGGACCTTCCCTAGTTGGGGTGAGGAGTCAGTGGGATTATGGATTTGAAAGTACCTGGCACACAGTGGGAACTTAAGAAATAATTTACAAAGGAACTTGTCACATTCACCCATCCTGTTCCTTTTACAGTGTTTCTGATCACTTTGAAGGTGCCATCATCACCCCACCTTATATAGCTCAAAGCCTCAGAGTCTTATTTGACTTGACAGCATGCTATAAGAGAAATGATGAAAAAGCTGGGCTGTTTGACTTGGGAATGAAAGATGAATGGGGATCTGTTTTATGGTTTTCAGATCTCTGAGGAACTATCATGGAAGAGAATGAGCAGACTTGTCTGAGTGGCCCCAGGGAGAATGACTAGAACCTCTGGAAGCCAAAGGGAGACTGAGTTCAGTTTAACAAAAGGAAGAACTTTTGCAGAGTCAAGGCTTTCTATGAAGGGAATGGACTCTCTCAGAGATCAGTAAGTACACTCCCTTTGAAAGTATTCAAGCAGAGACTAGCAAAGATGTTATAAGGTGAAGTCAATTGGGGTGAAAGAAAATTATGATTCATGAACTTTCTACTATGAATTTTCTACCTACTATGCATCAGATACTGTGCTAGATACTTCACAGGGATTATTTCTTTTAATCCTTCCAACAAAACTATGACATGTCTACTATTCTCCCTTCAGACTGAGTTTTGGAGACGTTCAGTATTTCTCACTGGGGTTACTACTGGTATTATAAGTGAGTGGTGCTCAACATCACTAATCATTAGAGAAATGCAAATCAAAACTACAATGAGGTATCACCTCACACCAGTCAGAATGGCCATCATCAAAAAATCTACAAACAATAAATGCTGGAGAGGGTGTGAAGAAAAGGGAACCCTCTTGCACTGTTGGTGGGAATGTAACTTGATACAGCCACTATGGAGAACAGTATGGAGGTTCCTTAAAAAACTAAAAATAGAACTACCATAAGACACAGAAATCCCACTACTGGGCATATATCCTGAGAAAACCATAATTCAAAAAGAGTCATGTACCACAATGTTCATTGCAGCTCAATTTACAATATCCAGGACATGCAAGCAACCTAAGTGTCTATCGACAGATGAATGAATAAAGAAGATATGGCACATATATACAATGGAATATTACTTAACCATAAAAAGAGACAAAACTGAGTTATTTGTAGTGAGGTGGATGGACCTAGAGTCTGTCATACAGAGTGAAGTAAGTCAGAAAGAGAAAAACAAATACCATATGCTAAGACATATATACGGAATCTAAAAAAAAGGTTATGAAGAACCTAGGGACAGGACAGGAATAAAGACTCTGACATAGAGAATGAACTTGAGAACATGGAGAGGGGGAAGTGTAAGCTGGGACAAAGTGAGTGAGTGGCATGGACATATATACACTACCAAATGTAAAATAGATAGCTAGTGGGAAGCAGCCACATAGCACAGGGAGATCAGCTCGGTGCTTTGTGACCACCTAGAATGGTGGGATAGGGAGGGTGGGAGGGAGACGCAAGAGGGAGGAGATATGGGGATATAGGTAAATGTATAGCTGATTCACTATGTTGTAAAGCAGAAACTAACACACCATTGCAAAGCAATTATACTCCAATACAGATGTTAAAAAAAAAATAAGTGGGTGGGAAGAACAATAGTTTGCTGTCTCAACCTGGTTGGTACTAAATTCAGTAGTACTTCATTCTTTGTGCAAAAAAATCCCACTCTCAACACGTATCTCTAAATGCCCTATGGATATCGTATTGATCCTGGTTGGGAATGATGGATAAATAATATGCTTAGGATCACAGACAGCAGGTAAGTAGCAGACCCAGGACTTGAACAAGCTGTGTTTAACTCAGAAAGTAGATATCCTTTCTATTTGTACCATCCACAGAAATGGATGGAATTGGGATTGGAATACACAACATTTTAAAGTCTAAACCAATCCCAAGAGATAGTGATTCTCTCATATTCCTCTCTTTTCAATCTCATATAATTTATCAACTTCTAAGTTCTGCAGATCCAACTTCTGTGATGTATTGTTAAATTCATTGCCTCCTTTCTACTCCCATAGTCACCACCTCAGTTCAGGGTCTCATTCCCTCTCTGCATCTAGTTTATCTACATCTCATGTTTTCCTATTCCAATTCAGTTAACTCATGTTTACCAGATTATTCTTCCTGAAACAGAGATTTATATTTTTTCTTTAGCTCAGAAACTTTCAATGATTTTCCACAGTGTGACGAATTGAACAGAAAATCTAGCATCCAAAAGTCTTCCACAGTTTTTCATCAATCTACCATGTCAACTTTAACTTTCACTTTCCACGTAATTGTACTCTAAAATCCAGTTCAGCTGGTGTTCTTTTCACATGCTCTGAGTTTCCCTGCCTCCAAACAGTTGTTCCTGTTTTTTTCCTGGCTTGGACTGCCTTCTCTCCTGCCTCCACCTGTTGAAATCCTATCTGTGTTTCATGGCCCATCTTAAATAATAATAATAGTTAACATTTATTGAGTGCTTATTTTGGTCAAGCCACTGTGCTAAGTGTGTGCAAGTATTTCACATGGATTATCTAATTTAATCCTCACAAAAACTTGATAAAATAAGCTCTATTTTTATATCCATTTTAAACTAGATTAAAACAAAATTCAGACAGGGAAAAGTAATTATGCTTGTCCAATGTCACACAAGTTAATAAATGGTAGGATGGGATTTGAACTCAAGTAGTCTGGCTCTGGAGCCCTGAAAGATGATACAATGTCAAAACACAAACAATCAAAAAACACTTTCTGATTTACTCTGGCTCAACTAGATGTGATCCTTACCTGACAATACCAAAGCGTACTTTAACTGGACCTTTAAAGCTATTTTGTGTTATATTTATTTATTCTTATACCCATGATGAGGTCCCAGTGGGCATAGACTATGTCTTAGGCATCTGTCTGTCTCACACAGTGGTGGCACAGAGTAGGTGCTCAGTGAGTCTGTTATGTTTAATTGAAGGTATGTTGGGGTGAAAGAGGGGACAGGAGAGTTATGTAGGGGAAGATGCCCATACTCTCCTGCCTTAGCCACCCTGCAATGGTTTCATACTGGTCAGCACTGCCAACACCTGTCCAAACAAGACCTTGCAGTCTCTGCTTCCCCAGCCTAGTTTCTGGCGGGTCTCTACTTGTCCCCCAGTTCTCACAGCTGCCTCGGCCTTTTGGCCAATGTTTGATGTAAAGCAGGATCAAAATATCACTGCCTTGGGCTCAGTTTCCAGGAGTGAGGGATCAAGTGAAACCCAGCCGGATGGGTGAGACTGAAAGCCCCCAAATAGAGCTTGCAAACTCTTTACACAAGCCCCGACTTGCCCAGGGGCCACGTGGGTAGGCCAGCCACTCAACGTCCCTCGGGATGCTTCACAAATCTGATCCAACTCCTCCCTCCCTCCCCTAAGCTCGTAGCCTCCTTGTCTTTTCTCTTCCTTATCTCCTAACTGGAGATACTCAGGGTGTTTCGGCGGGTCCACACATGTTCCCAGAGGCCATAATGGTCCAGTACAAGCCTACTCCAGGGGAACTGGCTCACCAAGGCCATCAGGGTATTAGCTCAGGTCCATGGCACCCTACACAGCACTCTCTGGATACAGATGGATGGGCAGACAGACAGCCACAGGACACCTTCCCAGCCATTCTGACTTTGTAGCACCTTAGCAGGGTCATCCTAACCTGATCCTGAACTTGCATCTCTAGGCCCCACAGGTCCAAGCCACCTTGCCATGCCAGAGGGTGTTCCCACACTTACCCTGTAAATAAATGTATGGATGGATCTTGCTCCAGTGACGGAATCCCTGGACAAACGTACCTCAGCACAGGCCAGACATCCCACCAAGCCCCCACTTCTCAGCTGCCAGTCTCCATACTACACTCACAGTAGATGAAATTCGTTACAATCAAAGCTCTGCTCTGACTCATTTCACATCCACATGTAGCAACAACAGCCAGAACCTATTCTCTTTTCCTTTCATGCTACGCCTACTTCTCCGCCCCCATGAAGCAGCTATTGGACCACTTGAGTGTCTAGGTGTGGCTACACAAAGAAGTTTCACCCCTGACAGTGAGAGTGGGGGAGGAGTTGGGGAAGAGTGGGTGAATAGTGACCAAGCCACGCCTTTGGCAAGAACTGAAAAGCTTCAGGGACTGAAGCAGGGAGAGAGGTAATGGAAGCAGGAGAGACTGTGGAGCTGAAGTTAAGATCTGTGGTGTCAAGGGAGGATTGGTGTCTTCATGGCAGAGTGTCACTTCCTCATATAAGCCTCACTAATCAAAGTCCTGCCCTGTCCACTGCGCTCTGTTTATTTTCTTACTGGCACTGAATTGTAATCTGTAATAATTATTGATTAAATTCCTTGATTGTTTAATATCTGTCCTTTCCCTTCCACTAATTGGTAAGCATCATGAGCTAATACTTAATAACTAACACTTATGCAACACTTGCTATCTGCCAGTCACTCTTCTCAATATTTTACATATATTAGCTCATTTAATCCTTATAACTACCCTAGTTTTATTCACAATTTAGAGATAAGAAAACTAAGGCATAGAATGATTGCCCAATTGTCAAACAGCTAGTAAGTGACAGGGCTGGGAAGGAGTCTGGTACACAGGAGAGGAATAAATAAACTAGAGAACCAAGTGTAAACGACAAAATGGGAGAGGTCAGAAAGACTTTGAATATGTTGAACTTAGCCAAAGAGCCCTACAGATGAAGAAATGTGAGCTGGCAGCAAGGGGACCCTTTAGCCTGGGTGTACTCTCCCACCTGACACAACCCTGCTGCCTTTTAGTTTTTCAACACAAGTCCTTTCCAGCTAAGTTGGGAACATTCTTCAAGGTCAGGATTAGGGGCCTTTCAACAACCCTAGCCTCAAGAGCTCCCCCTCCCTTGCTCCCTATGAGCCATGTCTCTCTCTCTCTTTTTTTCTTTAACTTTATTTTTTATTTTTAAAAAATGTTTATTGGGGCTTCCCTGGTGGCGTAGTGGTTGAGAGTCCACCTGCCTATGCAGGGGACACGGGTTCATGCCCCAGTCCGGGAAGATCCCACATGCCGCGGAGTGGCTGGGCCCATGAGCCATGACCGCTGAGCCTGCGCGTCTGGAGCCTTTGTTCCACAACGGGAGAGGCCACAACAGTGAGAGGCCCGCATACCACACACACACACACACACACACACACACACACACACACACATACACACAAAGTTTATTGGAGTATAGTGGATTTACAATGTTGTATTAGTTACTGCTATACAGCAAAGTGAATCAGTTATACATATACATATATCCACCCTTTTTTAGATTATTTTCCCATATAAGCCATTAGAAAGTGTTGAGTACAGTTTCCTGTGCTATACCTTATTATTATAACCTTATTAGTTATCTGTTTTATATATAGTAGTGTATATATGTCAATCCCATCTCCCAATTTATCCCTCCCCCCCTTTCCCCCAGGTAACCATAAATTGGTTTTCTACATCTGTAACTCTGTTTCCATTTTGTAGATAAGTTCATTTGTATACTTTTTTTTAGTTTCCACATATAAGTGATATCATATGATATTTCTCTTCCTGTTTATGACTTACTTCACTCAGTAGAACCATGCCTCATTTTAAAACTCCTCTCTCACTGGTATCTTTATTATTTACCTTCCACCTTATGTCCAACCCTTCTACCCCACAAACATATTTGAATTCTTCCCACTGCAAAATAAAATCTCCCCCACTGCCTCCTCCTAAAATAATAGCCTCATCTCTCTTCCTTCCTCAGCCAAATTTCTGGCCAGAGTAGTCTCCACTCACTGTTTCCATGTCTTTACTTTCCATTAGCTTCCCAATTTATTGCACCCTGGCTTCCAGCCCAATGTTCTTTCCCTGAGATCACAAGTGACCTTTTTTACTGCCAGATTTTAGGGAACATTTTCACTCATTTTCGTATTTATCTGCAGTTTCTTTCCAGTGCTAGCCACTCTTTTCTTTGGGAAACATTCTTTCTTGTGTTGGAAAACACTACTCGGCTCCTGGTTTCCCTCTGTTTCTCTTACCCTTCTTTCTCAGATTGTGTCACTGGATATTCTCCAGTATCTCATTCTATAATGTTGGTGATGCTGGGGCCCTCACAACACTTTATACATACAATATCATTTATCCCACAGAACAACTCATAAGTATTATTTTCCTTATTTTATACATGTGGCAACTCTGGATCAGACAAGTTAACTGAATTGTGCAAAGGTACACAGCAAGTACAAGCTTAATCCAGAACTATAACTAGTACCTGACTCTAAGCATGTTACATCATGCTGTCTTGTTCCAGTGAGTAAGGACATGGCATAGCAATAGAGTGGCTTTGGAGTCTGAATTGGGATCCCAGATCTGTCACTTAAAATTTGCATGCTGTGTGATCTTAGACAAGTACTTTAACCTCTCAGAGATTCAGTTTCCCTATCTATAAAATGTGGAAAGAAACAAGCTTGCTGGGAAGATTTGAGAGGAATATATATATAGACTTCCGAACCCAGTTCCAGACACAATAACTGAGATCTGTTAGAATGATAGTGGTAATGAGGACTATAATTGTCAACCTTTTCCCCCTAACTAATTTTCCTACCTTTTATTGTTAGTCTAACCTTATTAGTCTATTTTCTTGTCACTAGTTCCTAATTTTATTTGTTTTTGCCTGACTCAGTCCTCCTCTGAGAGAATGTAATTTCGACTGAGGCAATTAGCCAAACTCCTGTGTTTTCTCTACACCCTACCTTCTCAGGCATAGGATTGGAAATTCAGCACACACCAACCAGAAGGCTGTGCAACTCTGACTCTTCTACACATGTATTTGCTAATAATATTACTTTAAAACAATAGGTAGCATAGTCCTCTAGAGTTCTTTACACAGGTATCTCATTCAATCCTTATAACCATGGGAAGGTGCCATTACTATTACCATGTCAATTTACTAATTGGAAAGGGAAGAATTACCATCTCTTGGATGTGTACTATATGCGGGCACTGAGATAGGCAATTTATATGTTATCTCACTAACCCTTCAAGAGCACTTCCATGATCTGGTGATTATTACGTCCATTTTAAAAATAAAAAAAAATAAATTGGATATATAAAACATTATGTGACATCCAAATGAGCACAGAATTGCTAAGCAGAGTTGTTGAGATTTGAACTTGAATTTTCTAAGTCCAACCCTGAAGCTCTTTTTAGTATACCATGCTATTTCTCACCTACAGACAGCCTTGTGGGGACAGAAAACTATCACTGTGGATGCAGAAAAAGATTTAGATACTTCATTCTAAAACTCTACTTATGGGATGAGGGCCATAGGGCTTTGAAGCAGCATTTCTGCAAAATATTAGGATTGTTTAGGTCAGTTCAATTTCAAACGGAATTCACAGCATGATATGCCTGGCACAAAAATAAATAAATAATAAATTAATTAATAAATACATAATAGGAGAAAGAATGGCAACACTAAGGGGTACACAATTGTATAAAAGATTCATAATCATATAAGAGATATATCTAGTGTCCACAGGGCAGGTTCTAAAATTCTTATTCTTCTTAGCTTTTGTGAGACAACCAGACACTCATTTCATTGCCATCACCCACCACTATGTTTGGTTTGAGAAGACTCAAGAAGACTTGGTCACTTTCTGCCAACATCTGAAGGGCTGTCACAGGGTAGAAGGAACTGATGAGATTTGTATCTTAAGGGGGGAAAATGAGCCCATATGGGTAGAATGTACAGGCAGACAGATTTATACTCAGTATAAGGAATTGTTTTCTAATAATCACAGTGAAGGGTCAGGTCAGTCTCCAGGGCTCCAGATAACAGTCTTTCCCATTTATCTTCACTAATATAATGTTACCAGCCTGGAGTCGGCAGCTAAGGTCATTTTCCTCAGTGTGTGTCTCCAGCCTGCCTGGATTCAGAGTGATTCCTCTAGGGGAGAGTTTAGACCTAAGATTCCTTTCCAGCCATCTCTCAAGACCTCTCCCTAGCAGGGCTTTGTGGGCTTTGGCTGTGCTTCCACTCAGAGTGAGGTGCAAGTTGGCCTCTTATGGGAAAGCTCAGAAAGCTCAAGGCAAACCAGGAAGGCTAGAGGAGGTAGTGAATGTAGGCTTAAGTGTAGAATCTACAGGCAGAGTTACTACTGAGGCTCAGGAAGCAGGTCTCTCCAGATATATCCCTAGAAACCAATCAGCACCTAGGATGGAGGTGAAGGCAATTTTAGGGCCTGGACTTAGAGATAGGGGTAGGGCAAAGAGAAGAAGTTGCCAGAAAAAATAACTGCCCAGTCTTCTTGGATTTCCAACTATTCTTGAGTACTACATATTTCTCCCAAGTTACTATCAGGCCCTGTTCTAATTTAATTTTCATAACAGCTTTATTAGATAGGTACTATGATTATCATCCTTAACTTTCAGATGAGAAATCAAGATAGAGTGGCTAAGGAGTTCGTTCATGGTAATACAGCCAGAAAACTCAATGGATTCAAGAACTCTCACTCAGGTCTCTGGCAGCAGAATCATCATTACCTGGAAACATTTTTTCAATGCAAATTCTCTAGTCCCAGCCCAGATCTAATGAATCAGAAATTTCCAGTGTTAGGCCCAGAAATCTGTGTTTTAACAAGCTCTCTAGGATGATTCTGATTCCAACTCAAGTTTGAATACCACTGTTCTAAAGCACTAAGTGAAATAATTTCTCTCCTTCCCAATTAGAGGGTCCTCCCATCTTCCCTGCACAGCTATTCTAAACTTCTACATTTTCCCTGAAGTCCCTATTTTGGCACCTAGTTATCAGTCCAGAAAAATGAACCCCTATCCTTATCATCAAGAAACAGATGCTATTAGGTATGAAGTCCTTCCACCACTTTCCCTTATGCCAGTAAGTTTCTC